GGAGCTCCGGTCTTGTTTGTCAAGAAAAAGGACGGATCCTTTAGAATGTGCATCGATTATAGGGAACTAAATAAGCTTACCATCAAAAATCGGTACCCACTTCCACGAATCGACGATCTATTTGACCAGCTTCAAGGAGCTAGTTATTTCTCAAAAATAGATTTGAGATCCGGTTATCATCAACTCCGAGTTCGGGAAGAGGATATTCCCAAAACAGATTTTTGAACACGATACGGTCATTATAAATTTATCGTGATGCCCTTCGGTCTGACAAATGCCCCCGCTACATTTATGGACCTCATGAATCGAGTCTGCCGCCCATTCCTGGATAAATTCGTGATTGTCTTCATCGATGATATTCTTATCTACTCTCGAATCAAAGAAGAGCATGGTCAACATCTCCGTCAAATCTTAGAAACCCTAAAAGTTGAGAAACTTTATGTGAAGCTTTCCAAATGCGAATTTTTGATCCGCAGTGTAAACTTTTTGGGTCATGTAGTCAACAAGGAAGGGATTCACGTAGATCCTTCCAAGATAAAGGCCATTGAAGGCTGGACTATCCCGAGAACCCCAACAGAGATCCGTTAATTCTTGGGTATCGCAGGCTAATACCGGAGGTTTATCCAGAATTTCTCTAAGATAGCCAAACCCTTTACCACGTTGACACAAAAGGGTGAGTCTTTCAACTCGACAGAAAAGCAAGAAGCCGCCTTCCAAACCCTGTAGCGAGCCCTTTGTAGTGCACCAGTGCTATCCTTACCGGAGGGAACCAAAGATTTCATGGTCTACTACGATGCTTCGAATCAGGGGTTAGGCTGTGTCCTCATGCAGCGTAGGAAGGTGATAGCCTACGCATCCAGGCAGCTAAAGACACACGAAGTAAATTAGACCACTTATGATCTCGAGCTGGGAGCGGTGGTCTTCGCCCTAAAGATTTGGAGGCACTACCTCTACGGTACAAAGTGCACAATTTTCACCGACCACAAGATCCTCCAGCACATTCTGAATCAGAAGGAATTAAACAGGAGGCAGCGAAGATGGGTTGAGCTGCTAAATGATTACGAGTGCGAGATCAAGTACCATTCGGGAAAAGCTAACGTGGTAGCTGACGCCCTGAGCAGAAAGGAATACTCAGGTCGCCGGGTGAAAACCTTAACAATAACAATCCAATCCCACTTGAACTCTCAAATCAAGGAAGCCCAAACAGATGCATTGAAGCCGGAGAACGTTGCAAATGAAATGCTGCGTGGGATGGACAAGAACTTTGAGGTCAAGTAGGACAGAGCTTACTATTTCATGAACAGAATCTGGATCCCTAAACTTGGGGGATTCAGAGGAATGATCATGAATGAATCCCACAAGACGCGATATTCCATCCATCCGGGTTCAGATAAGATGTACCTGGACATAAAGCAGCATTGTTGGTGGCCAAATATGAAGGCAGAGATCGCCACTTACGTGGGCAAGTGTCTCACTTGCGCCAAGGTGAAAGTGGAATACCAAAAGCCCTCGGGACTATTGTAACAGCAAGCGATACCTAAGTGGAAATGGGAAATGATTACTATGGACTTCGTGACCAAATTACCAAAGACAGCAGACGGATTGGATGCTATCTGGGTAATCGTTGATAGGTTAACAAAATCCGCTCATTTCCTGCCAATAAAAGAATCCTACAAGATGGAAAAGCTGACGCGAATCTACATCAAGGAGATCGTAAGACTTCATGGAGTACCGATGTCTATTATCTTGGATTGAGATAGTAGGTTATCAAGTTGGAGACCGGGTACTATTGAAAGTCTCTCCCTGGAAAGGAATGATCAATTTTGGACCAAGTTGGAGACCGGGTACTTCGTCATTTTAAATGTTTTCAAATAACTTTTGACCAAACTTGCAACAAAATAAACTTTTGGACCAGTGATGCAACTCCAAAACATTTTGGACCAAAGACCAATTTTTTGACAAAACACAGGACCAAAATTGCAATTTTGTCAATCTTAAAACAAATCCATATATTGCCCTTATCGGAGATATGTAAACAAATTTACACGATTTGATAATTCTCCTAACTTTAATCTTAAACTAGGAAAGAGGCTCATGCGTTGCATGGGTCAGATTTTTTTGTTGAAGGTGCTAGAAACCGTGATGTTATAATTTCAGTATTACAAAGACAAAATAGAAGAATAAATGCCTGAAATTTAAGAGATCCTGAACAATCAGTAATTCAAAAGATACTCCATAAATTTAATTACACATAGAACTTGAAAAACAAAAACATCTACCTCCCTAAATAACTCTCTAAAACAGAATCCATACAACCCATATCTATGTACATCTGCAGATATAGAGGTCACTCGTTGGACAGAAAAGTCAAATGGCGGAATTTGATACCTACAATAATCAAAGGGAATGACATGTTATACAAAATATCAGAATTGGCATATATAGAACCATAAGAGTGCAACTTGGAGTAATCAAGAGCAATAGTGAAAAGAAACCAAAACCAACTGTGAAGGGAAAATATTTTAATAACACCAATTTACAGCAGCAAACTTTGATGTAATGGTCTGAAGTGGCAACCAAATTCTATACCTTTGGAGGAGAATCAGCTTTACAGTTGGGAACCTTCAAATCGCAACCACATTTATAAAGATAGCAACTAAATTCATTTAATTAACAAGCAACTTTGATTTGAAGAGAACACCAAAACCTAATAGGTTAAAATCAAAGAAGCTCCATGAACATCCGAATCTAATTTTAACTCTTTTATTTAGAAATATTTGGTATTTAGTAGTCATGTGTAGAATAAAATGAAAAGTTAAAACATAATTAGAACTTTTTTATCAGGTAAATATAGAACAAAACATTGATCTAATTAAATTAAATGAATATTAAAATATAAATTATGAAATATGTACCCTTTTCTTGCTCTTGATGGCAAAGGGGAACAACTAAAGAACGAAAAATCATCTAAGACTTGAATTAGAAGAAAATTTAAGATATATACATTAGAAACTATGTTATCATTTCAGTGGAACGAACCATTTCAATACTTTTCTAAGTCCATTATACCAAAAACTAACTAAATTTACATGTATGTCCAGTCTTCTTAAAGTGTACACCACAAACATAGTCGCTTTTGTTGTCCGGTTGTAGAAAGTTATCAGGTTTCGGAAGAAATTGAAGTGTAAATCCCATTGACCTGGAGTTTGACCATACGACCTAGAAGCGGAAGACTTGGATAATAACACAAACACTCTCTTCTATACATGGTTGTTCTTCATTTTTTCCCTTTCCAAAAGAATAAAAACAAAATCTCAGTCTTATATAAAAAATAAGTAAACAACCCGTTTTTTGAACAGTAAAGCATAATTTTTTTTTTAATTTGAAAAAAAAATAAGATTTTGCACTAATAACGAAAACAGGGAGACGTTATTTGCATTACATGGTGGTGAAAATTGAACATTAAGGAAACGCAACATTTAAAAAGGCATTATAAATTGAATAAAAAGGAAGAAATCTTTATTACCGCATCCAAGATACCAAGAATCCATGATTCTTTCATAGTAGCTGTCGAATGTTTCACCAGAGCCTTCACATTTTAAGTATGTTAGGTATGAAAGTTTCACAAAGATTTTATTAAAAAAAAAAGTGTAAATTACATTTTTGGTCGTGTATATATGGTTTTTTTTTTCATTGTTTGTTAAAAAAACTTTTTTTTGCAATGATTGTCTTTATTTGAGGTCATTGTAGCGTTTATGCCACTTCTAAGTAACATAACTATATATTTGGGAAAAAAAGAGTCATGTTACTTGGAACTATGCCCAAAAACGTTAAATGAACCTCAAATAAGGACCAAATTTGCAAGAGCAAACTATTGGGGACCAACCTCAAACTTGTCAATAAACAATTCTATGTTCGATTCGACTAAAAACATTTTATGTTACACTACTTTCATCTATTTTAAAATAAGTCATTGTACTTTCAGATTAAGACAATGTACTTTGAAAACTATATCCGACTAATGTAGTTGACTCTTGGATAGAGAAGAAACCGAAGAAGCGTTCATCAAATTGGGGAGTTTGGGGATGAGGGTGGAATTAGTTGAATTTAAAGGTTTCATCATCTCCATTCGTTGGTCCTAGTTACAGGCGACATTACAATCTTCTGAGCAAATTAACAGTTTTTACTGGCAACATTATACCAGAAGAAGAATCCTGAGACTGAACAGAATTCATGGCAATAAAAAAAACTCAATCAAAGCACGATCAACCATGCCGGAAAATCAAAGAAGATAAAGATAAGAGCTGTCAATTTCTGACCTGCGACACCAATTACAACCCAAAGTTGGGGGATACTCTAGTTCTATGTATACCGGAAATGAATCCCGCAAAAATTAGATTTGATTAAAGTAAAATCAAGAAACCACTTTGGAGCAGGTGGAGGGAAATTGACAGGAACTCGAGACATACCTCATTCACAATCGATTGGATGACAGAGGCGGTGATGTTGATGGCGTTAGAGCAACTAGACCGACTTCTTCAAACCTTAAAAAAACATATCAAATCAACTGAAAGAGAGATACTTAGGCTTCAATTTCGATTGCTTCGCAAGGGCTACTCCCCACCTCCGATTTTGACTGTTTCACTTCATATTCAGATTGCATTTTGATTGCTTAGCAGCCTTAATTTGAACCGAAAATCAAAAACTGGGTCCATAAATCGATTGAAGAAAAACACAAGACTAAAGCATATAAACCTTATCAAAAACTGTATATATAATATATGTATATGCATAAAAAGAATATACTACTAACAACGATGTGCTTGTTAACTAGATTTTGCACAAATAAGTAATCTTTTGAAAGAAAAGAAAATAGATAAACAATTAACTTTAACTATAAACCATTCAAGCATACGTACTGTATTGGTAATGGTAAAGTTTAAGGAACTATTAAAAATCAAAACAAGTGAATCCATGGCATTTTCCTGCCATTATTTCATAACCTCCAAACCATTATATATACTTATTAATTGTTAAAAAGTTGGTGAACAGGAATCTTTTAAAATTTGCATTTCTGCAACAGATTTTCCAGGGTTTACTTCCCTTTTCTCGCAAAACCCGCCATAGAATTTCTCATCGTTATCTTCTCTTCCTCAAAAGGGGTTGCCGCCGCCTCACTTACGCTTATTTATCGTATACCCATTTCTATTTCATCATTCTTCTTCTCGCAAACTACATCTTCTCTCATCAATGGCTTTATGGAGTCGTCGCTTGCAAAGATTTCTACTCAACAACAACGTTTGAGAAAGTGGAGTAGAGAAGGTAGTCCCCGGTGCTGTTCGGCAATTCCAATCGACGCTCCTTCTTCTCTCTCTGATGGCCTTGGCTCTGGGATCAGATGGGGTTCCGCAAATTACAAGGTGCACGCGAGGAGATGGAAGACGATGCTGTTATAGTCTGCTCATCGCCTCATAACGACCTTGATGGTTTCTTTTTTGCTGCCGTTTTCGATGGCCACACGGGTTTCTCTTCTGTTAATTTCCTCAGGTTTGTTATGCACGTTAGGTGTTTGTGTTTATGTCTCAGTAAGTTTTATCTTTCCTAATATTCAAGTTTCGCTTGATTTGACTGTCTACCACCGCCATCAGCAACATGTTGTCGACCTCCGACACCGACAGGAAACAACCAGCCGTGGTTTCCGTCACGAAGCACACACTTGAAATCGGCATCAAGAGGCTGCGGTTGTGAGGACCATCGCCAGTGACAGAGCAGAATTTCGAATCTGAAATTAGGATTAAGGGATCATGTTTTATTTGGGTGTTATCGGTTAAAAAAATAGTATCATGTTTTATTGGGGTGTTATCGCCTCCAAAAACTACCTATTTAATTATAATTTGCCTCTTAATGGATGGTTCTTTAGCTGAGCACCCCAGGTGTTTGATTAAATGCCTGACTCAATCAATATTATAAATAAAGTCTTTTTTTTGTTCAATTATGAAATCAACCTCCGTCATACCCGATAATCTGAATCAGTATATTGTTTGTACTTTGTGTTTGACTTTCAGTAAATAATTTCTGTAGGGATTGTTTTTTTTTTGTGCGATGCTTTGCAATCAGCGTGAAAGAGGGCTGACTTCTTCCATACCAGCACGCCATTCTTCACCCAGGCTTCGACATGGGCATAATTTTTTAGGTAATTGTTGGTTTTGTTGCTCTTCTACTTATTTCATGCCTTTCTTTTTCTATTTCATCAGTAGTAATAACCACTTGCACAAGATTAATCAGTTTGGTTTCCGCCCAATGGAGGTTGGGACCCTACCCATGCGCTGCATGTAAACACAAATAATACTCTTATAAAAATGTTTTTTTTTTTTTTTATTTTATTTCTGTTTATATTCTTTGTTTTTGAATTATCATGTTTGTTTTCACTTCCTGTAGGTGAGTCTGTATCATAAGGCTGCTGAAAGAAGACAAGTACTGTCATTTTATTTTGACTACAAAAGCCTCCTGAAAAATGTAAGTTATAATCGATGTAAAGTTATATTTTACCATAATACCCTTTTGATCCTACTTATCTTTGTGTCATTTATCGTAAATTTATCCTTTGTTTAACTTATCAGGCTATGAAAAACTATAATTACGATGATGACCCTTTACTAGCTCCGTGTGTAATCACTATTGAGAGACAACTTGCTCAAGTTGAGGGTCCTGTTCTTCAGGCACCAAAGGTTTGTTTGATAGGATAGGGGTATTTCTGTAATTTCATATATTCATCATGATATTTTTCTCATTTACTTTTTTTTTTAAATTACAGTTGAAGGTTGGTAATAGAGAAGACATTTCTCCTTGTAATGGGCGATGGAACTTTACCTTTTCTTTTCTTTCCTTTGACTTTGACTTGATTTTGATATTTGATTTTTGATTCTCATATTATTTATCGCCCATTTTCAGTAATGGAAGAAGACCCACAGAATAGAAAGTTTGGACCTGTACTACGTGTGGAAAATTGCTATAATTCAAATGGTATGTATATAGTTCGTATTCTCTATACTATACTAAATAATTCAGTTGTATTCCTACTAACTTCTTGTAATTTTTTTGATCAGCAAGGCAGCGATGACGAGTGTAACTTTTCATTTTACTGATTTCAGCCTCGCTTTTGTTTTCTCTTGTCTCCACTGTCAGTTTGTTTTTCTTTTTGTGCTGATTTCATGATATGAGAAACTTTGGTGTGTTTATGTGTTTGTGAGAAGTTGACTTGTAAGTTTTGAATTTGCTTTTCGGTTAAGATTTGTATGTAGGTCAAAATTTTCATGTTTCTATCTAGGTGAAACTACAAATAACTGTATGGCTGGTGATGCTGGAGGTTGTAGCAGCTACAGTTGATCAAACCAGCGGAAATTGGGGAATGTTTCCAACAATCACCACAAACTTATCTTTGATGGTCAATTCACGGTTTTTTATATCAACGAATCAGCAGAAGTTATTACATGGTTTGATTGATACCCATAAATTGATGGTATATTCTTTATTGGTTTGGAATTTCCTTATAACGTATAGCTTTACCTAATAGTTCATAGTGGGTAAGTAGAGAAAACCAAAATCAATGCCCGATTACTTTGCAACAAGTTTCAAACTGTTAATATATTGATCTGAAAGTTAATTGCAATAGTAAACATATGATTATTTGGATTTATAAATATATAGAATTTGTTTCGTGGGTTAAAGTTAAAATGATGAAATATTTTCCGTCTTCGTTTTGTAGTTGCTCAATTCTGGAAGTTTAGACATGGAGTGTTTACAAAAAAATGAAGTTTTCATACAAAAGGCATAACAAATGTTGTGTAAGCCAATAATATACATTGGTTTGCTTTTCTTTATTAAATCTCTGTTTTTATATATATTTGAATGTTTTTTGAAGGTTTATAATATTAGTTTAATGTTTTTGAAGAATATAATTGAGATTAGTTGAGTGTCTCAGTGATAGATCTTTTTTTTATTAGGATTACTACCAAAATTAGGATTCAATGACATATTTTTAACCTTCTCCCCTGTTTGTTTAGTTGCGCTTTATAAAAAATTTATATGTGTTTAGAAATAATAGTAACCTGCAAGGTTAAATAAACATTTATGTAAGATGAATAGATTATTATTGTAATGTGTAAAGTAACTAATAGTGTAGAGTATAGACATGAGAGACTTGCCAAACATAAATGAAATGCAAGCGAGAAAACACATGGTGAACAATAAAGATAGAATAATTAGACAATATCTTACAAGGGCATTCTGGTCATTACTAATTATACAACATATTTTCTTTTCCTTAATTGCTATTTGGCCTGATTATGGTTGTGATCATTTCAGGGGTGACAATGTATTTTTGTTCAACCATATTTTTATCTAACCCATCTTCAAAGGGCAAGGGTTGATTATACGTTTTGTAAGGTGGAAAACCCATTTTGTCTGACTGTTTTGGAAATTGATTCGGTTTCCTTGAATGAAAGAGTAAGAGATTAATTTTGAGATCGTTAATGCTGATGGAGGTGATTTCATCCAGAACAGGGTACGACTATAATTTGGCTTCAACAAAAGCCCAACAAGCAGGTATATATATAAATTTATATGTGGTTTTTTATAATTTTTTCCTAGCTTGGAGGAGGTACAGAATGGCTTGAGAAGTTGCCGAAGGCAGATGGTCTGAAAACATCGTATCCCAGTAGGCATTCTCTCATTTATGTAAATGACTGAAATACCCTTTGCCCACTGCTATGCTGTGATGTGTATAAATTATAAAATTGGGGTTATGATCTGGTGCAACATACAGCTCTTTGGGGACTTGGTTATTGCTACTCCTGATATTGCAACTGATGTCTTATGGGACTACATTAAAAGATTCAATCTATCTTACCTTTCTTTTTTTATGACTTCATTATTTTATCCAAATTTTATTACCTTCAGCTCGGATGTGGTCAACTTTGTTACAAACCAACTTCGGGAACATGGAGATGTGCAGGTAATTAGTTTCCATGAAATAATTTTAAAGAAAAACAAAAGTTTATAAAATCTTTATTATTTTTATACCAGTATATTGTAGGCTGCATCTGAACCTCTAGCTCAAATGGCCTTGGTATGTAATGAATTTCGTACATATTTTCACCTTTTAATCACGAGTTTCTCGACACAAAGAACGTGATTGATTACATTGGAGAAGATGGGTCATTAGTGGTTTTAGATCCTTTAAAACATCATAAAGATGGAAAAAAGTCGTTTCAGTGCAACCGCGTTTTTGGTTTTTGGTCCAACTGGTACTCAAGGTAATAATAAAATTCAAACATTTTTCCACAATTCTATAACCTTCTGTTGACTAATGTTTTGACTTTTATCAGAGGAGGTTTTTGCTGACAAGAGAAAAAAAACGAAGACGGCGCGCATGATTCCCCTCTAGTTACTAATTATTAAAGATGGGAGTCGCATGGGAATGACGTTTCTTTCTTAAAACTTGTTTTATTGATTTTTTTATGATTATTTTACAATAAACTTGGTAATCACGTTGTATTGTATATCTAATTTATAGATTACATAGGGATATATATACTAGATAATATTACACTTTAGTACCATAAACTATTATAAATGTCGAGGCTAATATTCCCCCGCAAGCTAATGTTGGGGAGCGACCTTTAGCTTGTGCCTTAGATACTCGAATCTTTGAGAAGACAAGGGCTTTGTAAACATATCTGCAATCTGATCATCTGTGTTAATGAACTGAATAGATAAACTTCCTTGAGCAACTTTTTCACGGACAAAATAGAAATCAACTTCAACATGCTTTGTGCGTGCATGAAACACTGGATTTGCTGAGAGACAAGTCGCTCCAAGATTGTCACACCATAACGTTGGGACTTTCTTCATAGGTACACGAAGTTCTAGTAATAAAGTCTGTAGTCATGTGAGTTCAACAACTGTGTCAGCTAGTGCTTTGTATTCAGATTCGGTTGAGCTACGAGAGATATTCTTTTGTTTTCGTACTGACCAAGATATGAGATTCGATCCAATGTATATAGTATATCCCCCGGTGGATTGACGGTCATCTGGGCAACCAGCCCAATCCGCATCAGAGAAAGCGGCGAGGTTGTGAAAAACCGAATCAGTGTACGCATGTAGAGAGGTGCCAGAGTTGTGATGAATGTGGAGACCATATGTCGAAGTACCCTTTAGATATCGCAAAATTCGCTTGACAATGGACCAATGATTAATAGTGGGCGAATGCATGAAATGCCAGACTTTGTTGACAACATATGTAATATCAGGTCTCGACAAGGTAACGTATTGGAGAGCACCAACAATACGACGATATTGAACTGGGTCATCAAGTGGAGGACTATCGCCAAGGGCAAGGTTGGCGTTAGTGCTAATCGGTGTAGGCGTAGGATGAGCTTTTGATAGGTTGGCATGATCAAGAAGCTCCAAGATGTATTTTTGCTATGAAAGGAGAATATCTTTACCTTGGTAAGTGATCTCAATCCCCAAAAAATAAGAAAGTTAACCCATATCTTGAATAGCAAAGGAGTGACTAAGACGATGAACCACCTCATTAATGGCAGCTGGATTATTGCATGTTAAAATAAAATCATAAATGTAGAGAAACATATAAAGCAAAGTACCAGCCTTAGAGTAAATGAAGAGAGAGGGGTCGGTTTTTGAACCATGAAAGCCCAATGCTTGTAGAGAGCCTGAGAGGCGTTGGATCCATGACCTTGGAGCCTGTTTTAAACCATACATGGATTTGTGTAAAAGGCAAACATGATCAGGTTTTTGAGGATCAACAAATCCTTGTGGCTGTTGTAAGTATATTGTTTCCTGTAAATCGCCATGTAGAAAAGAATTTTGTACATCAAGTTGTCTTAAATGCCAATTCTGTGTAACAGCCAAAGAGAGAACCAGTATGATAGTAGTAGCTTTCACAACAGGACTAAAAGTCTCATGATAATCTATCCTGTTATGCTGGCGAAAGCCTTTAGCAACCAGGCGTGCTTTATGGCGTGTAATAGCTCCAGTTTGATCACGTTTCACTTTATATACCCACTTGCAATCAACCACATTAGTTTTTGGAACACGAGGAACAAGAGACCATGTACCATTTCGTAACAGGCCTGAGTACTCATCAGCCATGGCTTTACACCAATGGGAATGTTTATTTGCTTCGGTAAAGGAGGTAGGTTCATTGTCATGAGTGTTGGGGATAGTGTGAAAGGAAGAAGGATTGTATTTAGTATTGAGTTTAGGGTGAGGCCGTAGGTTTGGAGGTCGAGTACGGTGAAAGTCAGAAGGTGTTGAGTTGGTGATTGGTGGGGTTGGGATTGTTTCAGTGGTGGGTGGATCGGATGATAGAGAAAGAGTGGATGTAGTTGAGTTGAGCACAGGTTGGGTGTGAGTGTAGCGATCAAATGCAGGAGTGGAGATGAGATTGGAGGTTGATCGGCATGTATAAGTTTGGGGTGGAGATGTTACAGGTGGCAGTGTAGGGGAAGTAGATGTGTCTGAAGGTTGTGATGGTGAAGATGAGTTATTTGTAGTTGGTGGAGTAAAGACGTTTGTAGGTGGTGGGATGGGATATGAGGAGTAATAGGGTTCAGTGAAGTGGGAGGTATAGGGAGGAGGTACATGTTTGGTAAAGGGAAAGCACTGCTCGTTAAATCTCACATGGCGAGCAATATAAATACGTTCAGATTGTGGATCAAAGCATCGATAGCCATGATGAGAGATATTGTATCCAAGAAACACACAAGGTGTAGAGCGAAACTCTATTTTGTGTTTATTGTAAGGGCAAAGGTGAGGAAAACATTTACACCCAAAAACTCGAAGGAAAGGTAGTCAGGAGGATGGTGAAAGACAAGTTCAAAGGGTGATGTGTTTGAGTTAGTTCGGGTGGGCATGCGATTTATCAAGTAAGTGGCGGTATCAAACGCAAAATGCCAGAATTTGTGTGGTGCATTAGAGTTGGCTAGAAAGGTAAGGCCAGTTTCAACAACATGTCGGTGACGACGTTTAACATAACCATTTTGTTCACTGGTATGTGGGCAGGAAAGACGATGTGTGATGCCAAGAGTAGAAAAGAATGAGTTGAGGTTGCAGAATTCACCCCCCTCCCCAATCGGTTTGGACAGATTTAAGTTTAGTATTAAATTGTCGCTCAACAGTAATAAGGAATTGTTTGAAAGTTGTAAAAACATCTTATTTACGTTTCAAAGGAAAAAACTGTTGGATTAGGTGTCTAAGCCCATAACTATATTTGGTATGTACTTGACCCGATTGTAGCATGGTCCTTTTGGGTTGCCTTCACACTGGTGACTAGACAGGATGACTGTTGAGGAGAGAGGCTGATTTATTATTAAGAATAAGAAATTGGGGCATAAATATGATTTATTAATATATTATATGAATAATATATTAATTTGGAATCATATTATTAATTAGTATTTAATCATAAATTAATTTGGAATTAATTTTGGGATTCAAGGAACTGATTAAAAGTACAGGGGCTGTTTTTTAATTATTTGATAGTTGAGGCTTTGTGCCATTGGATCACCTTTATTAGGGCTAGGCCGAAAATCCAAGAAGGATCTAGGAATTTTCGTCCAAGGGCCTAATGTAAGGAGGTCCATGGACTTGCTTAGGCCCTAAGCTAAGGGATTAGGGTTTCCACCCTGAAACCCTAGCTAACCTCAAGTATAAATAGACCCCTAGGCTCTAGATTTCGTCCAACCCTTGGAGAAACCCTAGAAGAGCCGTTTTGGGGCAAGCTACCCTTTCTCCTCTCTCTCATATTCATCCTCTCACTCAAGTGTGTTTGTGAGCCATTAGAGGTACTACATTTGTGGTACTTGTTCTCAAGAGCAAAGGAACTTCAAGATTTAGTTGTTATTACTATATAACAACAAAGGTATGTATTCTAATCTTTTGTTTGTGATATTCGAAATATTAGATGCATGCTAGGGTTACCATTTGTGTTCATTTGTTGTATGTCTAATAGTGAAAACATAGATCCAAATTAGGGTTGCATGCACACATAAGATTGTATGTATAAAACCCAACAGTGGTGTCAGAGCCTTTGGTTGTTGTTTTCAATTAGATTTGATACAAAAGTATGAATTTGAAAAATTAGGGTTTATGGCAAATAAACCCTAGGGCTTGGATTTTCGAAATTAGGGTTTCAAAATCCTAGTTTTCGAAATTTGTTGGGGTTTCATGAACCCTTTCCTTTGGCATCAAGATTTCGAAATTGGGGTTGTCTAACCCTAGAGTTTTCGCAAATGCCTTATTTCCCAAGATAAGATTCCAAGATTTTAGTGAATAGGATAATGCCATCTTTTGTAATTATCCCTTTAATTGTTTAAATAGATAATTAAAGATCTTTGAATTATCCCATCCCAAATTTTCGAATTTTAGGGGGATAAAGGGATTAGGTTAAATTAATTGTTTAATTTAATGGATAATCCTTCGATATTTAATAATTTAAATTAATTTTTTAATTTTGGATAATTATTAAATGAAAGTTTTGATATTTAAGATTTTAAAATTAAAAAGTATTAATTTTCGATAATTTTAAATTTGATTAAAACCCTAGTATTTTGAAATGTTTAAAATACACCCTTATACTATATAGAATTAAAAGTTTAATATTATATATGTATAAGTAAATGTCAGTCTTACCGTTAGTAGGTCTCATTCACGAAGCTGGTCTATATGGGGTGTTTAAGGAAGCAGCCTATAAAATGATCGTCATTGGGTATCCACTCTTACCCACCGCACCCTTGACTAGTGGAGGGTCGTTAGCCGAACGGGTAGGATAGGACACAACCTTCCATTATAAGTATAATGAAATACGAAATAACTAAACACCTTTATAAATTCCCAAATCTTAGTTACTTTAGAAAAAATGTGAATTTGGTGCTAATCCATGAAATTACACATTGCACCTTATTGATCGTTAGTGGAGCGTGTGTGGTTAAACGACACACTAATATGGGACCAATCAAGGATGGCAATGGGTAACTCGTAGATTATCATAGATCAATGGAGCGTGTGTGGTTAACCGACACATTGATTAGGTGATATATGTCTTCGAGAGTACCAAGCTAATTTGCATGGTTATTCACACCTTGTTTGTGATTCTCGGCATCCCAGTCACAAACTTGAAGGGCATAATCAAGATTAAACATGCCATTGAAAAGTTCAATGAATCTCAAAAGATCTAGGAGTTTCAATTCATTTAAAACCTAATCTTCATTTTCATTTTTCATGGTGGAAATTGGTAAATCGTCATTTACCTACCTTCAAATATTTTGCAGCTGGATTACGACATCCCTCTTCCGAGTTGTAGAATATTGTGTTGGGTCCTAGCCTTAATATTTCATTTGGGTGTTATATTAAGGATTGAATCAACTAACTTGAATTTCTCCCATTTTGTAGATGTCAAAATCTAACAACTATGGTTTTCCCGAACCCATTGGAAAAAGCTTTCCACACGAAGATGATGTTCCACGATTGGATCATGGAAATGGAAATCATGCTTCACTTCCTCCACCTCCTCCAATAATTCTCCCTGACCCACGTGTTCGTCGACTTGAAAAGTTCAAGGTCACTCAAGCCCTATTGGCAAACAAACACGAAGATGGAAAGTCTGTATGTGCTCACATCTTGGACATGAAGTTGCATATTGACAA